GTTTCTTACATATCCTCAATAATGCAGTTAATTTGTTCTTATATAACTTATATTTTTCTTCCGCCTTCTTGGATCTGTCTGAATTCTTTATATAACGGATTCTTCTTTTTACATGCATTCTGTAATCCCTTACTCATCCACGGTTTCCCACTGTAATTCCTCTTGTTTTTATACTGCTTACGAGGACAGTTCCTGTCATATACTTCCATGAATATATTTAAAAATTGCTCATATGCTTTGTCTAAGTCTTCCTCTTTGTAAACTGCATCCCAGTCTTGCCCCAAAAAGTCCTCGTTTAGCCTCCTTACAGCATATTCGTTCATCACCCTCCTATAAAAAAGATTTGTTTTTGGCCTCTCTTTTCTAACATGGCAGTCATAAACCAAAAATACTGGTAAATGATCACTGATATCATTTATAAGTAATCCACTAGACATTTTGCTATCAATATCATTAGTAAATATATTACCTACTAGTGTTGCATGCTGGGTTGTTAATCTACTTGGTTTTGTAATTTTTGGGTATAAAATACATCTATATAATGTGTTAATAAACTCCTCAGTTCCTGTGTGCTTGTTTGGATTTAACAAATCTATATTAAAGTCACCACATATAAACATTAATTTATGACTTACTGGCGAGTGATTTTCTTCCATCCAGTCATAAAATTTTTCTATGCTGGCTCCAGGTGCTCTGTAGATACAGCTTATTACAACATTCTTCTTTTTTTCCAAAAGTAATTCAACAGTCACACATTCGAGTAAATTATCTACTACCCTAGACATTTTGTCTACATTCTTATAACAAAAGTTCTTATCTTTGTACAAGGCCACACCACCTCCCATCTTATTCTCTCTGTTTATGCATACCACACCTTGGTGTATGAACCCTGACCACTGTGCCTCAGCTCACATTTTGCTTTGACATTCTGGATTACAACAACAGATCAATTAGTTTCCCATTATTATCAATCTAAATTAATCCACTGCCAAACATAGGCGCTTGTTAAATTTCGAATGTGTGATTTTACCGAGGCATGTGCCACAGTGAAAGGGGTCTAATGACACCTATAGTACTATTGTTCTGCCTATTTCTCCTGCTACTTTTGATTCTACTGCAGCCCAATGAACATACATTTTCAAAAGTGGTGGTGTCAAATATTTTTATCTTCATGCATGTGACCTCCAGCCCCCCAAGGAGTGGTATGTTCCACCGACCAATTCCACAGACAAAAGCCAAGCCTGCCAGCGCACTGAGAATCGATGATAAGCATGAAATGGATAATATGTTTGGTTAATAATTTCATCACCGCTTCTCCTCAGTTGTTGTATGCATCACCAGTAAGCAGGTGAAAACATGCACAGGCTGTAATTATCACTACAGAAACAAATGCCATCAGCTTTTTAGCTGGCAGGAGGTAATGAAGAGAGGGAATGAGGATGTTGTGACTGGCAGGGGGTTAGAGGTGCTCTCCATGGAAGGCTGAGATGGTGAAAGTGATTTCAGCATCTGTTGTCTGAGGGCTTAGCGCTGAGTGTTCTTCCCACTGCCCCTCAACCGCCAGGGAAGCCGTTTCTCTTTTGAAGAAACGTCAGCATTTTCTCTCAAGTGAATATCCAGATGACGGAAGAGGTCCCGTGTTCCTCTTTTCTCTGGGGTTTCTGTTTGTCAGCCTGTCCCAATGAAACAGCTCAGCACAGTTACTATCATCACCGACTGACTCCCAGCGGTGGCAACTAAACTAGTCTGAATCACATGGAGGAGCTGAAACAGGTTGTATGGATTTATAAAATGACCTAAACTTGACAGCAAAAAACAAAAAAATGCCTCCTGGCACCTTTAAAACCTTTGAAATACAGGAATAAAAATATAAGCTGGTCACCTTCATGTCACCTCTGTCACAACCTTTTCCGTCATCCTCCCCCTTAGTCTAATTTACTCTATAACATCAAATTCCCTCTCTCCTGCTCTTAGTTTCTTATGTTCCCTTTATCGTGGTAATTTCACAGCAGCTCCCTCTCCTTACTATTTGCAATTCAAGCTTATTCTGCTGTTAAAGTAAATACATTAACTTTGGATAAAAGTACCATATGTCAGATGTGAAGGGAACCTTTATTAACCAGGTGAAAATCCCAACCAGTTTACTTATGTCATTATGTATGAGAGTTAGGCTCAATTAATTGGTTTTATATTCAAATGGCAGTTTAAAAATGCACTTTTCAAATTCCATAAGCTGTGATTATATTTATAAGCTACACAATTAACAGTTTCTTAAGAAGCTGTAGCCAGAGTTTAAAGGTAATCAGAGGAGTTTTTGACCTCTAGCAGTGCCGAGGGGTAGTTTCTCTTTGAGTGGTTCCCTGCACTAAAACAGGTTTCAGACTTTAAAAATCAGCTTTGCAAATGTGCCACGATGAAGGAAATGCACTGTGTGTTAAAGGAGAAAGTATCGATTTTGCTGAAAAGTTATATTTACACTGAAATTTACTGCAACTATTGTTTTCACTCCTAATGTTCAAGTGTCACTGGCAGATTTAGTTTGGCCAGCAGGCTATGGTTACCATAACTGGCCAATTATGCAGCTGTTATCAGTAAGTATAACATCATGTCATTTTTATATTTGAGTAATAAGCATACCAGCAATGCAGTTATTTGATAAACATAAGCCAATGTGAGCAGACATTTTGACTTGTCACTGTATGTAACCGATTAGATCTTCAGTGACCACACTCGGCAAGCCCATCTTTGTGTCCCCTTTATTTTCTTCTGTTTTAATACTGTGACCAGCCATCTCTATGAACTTTGTGTTCTGAGCAAGGCACCTGGAGTTCTATGCTGTAGTTTGATGGCTACAAATGTCTGTCATGTCACCCTTTAGAAGTCTGTTCTTATTATACTAGTTATTTTGCTGTCAGAATAAATGTTTTTTGTTGAAATCTTGACCTCATGAGCATCAGAGCACCTGTGTTTCTTTAGGTTCCCCAGATGATTCATACACATTTTTCTGACTTCTCAGGTGGAACTAATAACATAGGTTCTTTCAGTATAATGCAGCAGTTATGAATGATATAGCCTACAGTCCACCTGTGGTTGACAAGTCAGAATGTTTGCTGTGAAAAGGGTTCTGTTCAAATTAAAGCCCCTACACACCCCTCATGTTTTGTGTTATGTTTCTGATTTAACCCCCTCTCATGAATGTGGATGTGTACAGAATGTGCTTGACTGACTGTTAGCATTGTTATTAGATTGTGGTCTTTAGTGAGATATCATTCCCTGCATAGACTTTTACCCAACTAAGATCCTCCTGCCTCTGTGGAGCACAGCTGTTTTGGACAAGGCTGAGTTAAAATTTGTAAACAGTTATCTTTGAAATATAAGATTGATTATTGTAATGCACGCTATGTTGGGATTTTTCAGGCTTCTCTGTCTTGCCTTCAGATGGTTCAGAATGCAGCTGCTCATCTGTTGACTGCTACATGGAAACCTGAACACATTACTCTGATTCTGGCCTTCACTGGCTTCATGTTTGTTTTAGGATTACTTTTAAGATTGTATTGTTTATAAAGCTTTGCACTCTATGGCAGCTTTGTATGTCTCAGAGCTTTTACATTGGTATTCAATGGAGGCTGGTAGGTCTTCTGATAAGTTGCTTTGAAAGTGCCTAGATCGAGACGTAAAGATTGGGGCAACCAGGCTTTTGTGGTGGCAGCCTGCCGCTTGAGATTCAGTCTGTCTCAGATTTGTCCACTTTAGTGTTGTCACGATACCAACATTTTGGTACCGGTACCAAAATGTATTTCGATACTTTCGATACTTTTGGATAGTTTTTCAGATAAAAAGAGAACGCAAAAAATGTCATTACTGATTTTATTTTAATAGAAAATCTTAGAATAACATCAAAATAAAATTCAAAATACTAGGCTTTTCTTATTGCACTCAAAACAATTTTTTTTAGAACTTTTTGAAAAAACACATTTTTTTATTAAAATTTAGAAAAAAAATTTCTATGTTTGATAAGAACTCTTTATCATGTGTTGCACACTTAAAACTATTGAACTATTGCATTTGAAAAGGGCACATGTCATGAGTAAATTACCTGTCGTTCCCTGAACTCAGTGTGCAGGTCTGGGTGTTTCCGCCCTTAGCCATGCATGTTTTAAAACATCGTTTACACAATGGCGCATCAACGTTAATTGCCTCTCCTTGCTCATTTGTTTTTATGCCGAAGTACTGCCATATAGCACTTCGCGCCCCTCGTTTGTCCACAAGTTGCGGGGTGGTGACTGTTACAGCAGCCATTCTCCTCTCCGTGCTCCTCTCTCTCTCTCTCCTCCTCTCTCTCTCTCTCGCTCTCTCCCTCTCCAACGTCTCTGCTCTCTCCAAGCTTTCCTCCTGCTCCGTTTGTTGCTCCAGTCCACGCTGCTCAGTGAGCAGAGGACGAGGAAGCTGTTTCCTGCTCTGTTTTCCTCTGTTGCGGGTGGGCGCTGCAAGTACCGGTCCCATCCAAATGCAGTATAGTACCATTTTAAATGCCTCAGTACCGCGGTACCATACTAGTACCGGTATATCGTGCAACACTAGTCCACTTTTTGTTCTCTCTTGAAAACCTTAGGTAGGCATTCATCACTGACCCTGACTGTCTCTGTCCCTGTTTTTATTCTTATACATTGTGGTGTATCTGTTTTTGCTCTGTTTGCTTGTTATTGTTATTAAATTTGGTTTTGGTTCATTGTGTTGCACTCTTCTGATTATGCTATTTGTTTATTATCTTTATTTTTGTTTTCTTTTATTGCGAAGCACTTTGTAACTTGGGTTCAGAAAAGCTTTATATAAATAAATTGTTACTTACTTGTTTATCTTTATGTGTGTTTCAGGAAATCAAACCCCAGAGTCATTACAACCACGGCTACAGTGAGAACGTCAGCCGTAAAAATCATGTGGATGACTACAGCACCTGGGACATCGTCAAAGCCACACAGTGAGTGGACGTATGCGTGCGTTTTGTTGTTGTAATTCACGCTGCTTTGTCTTAGTGAGGTGGACATCATTATATAGTTACCGAGTGGGCAATTGGAAGCAATATGCTTTCCTATTTACACCGATCTGTCATAACATTTTGCCAACCTGTACATCTGTATGCACTTCATTGCAACCCTTCTGCCTTAACATTTGTGTTTATGAAGATCAAAATGTTTCCGTTTTTGGTGAGACTGTCATAAATGTATAAATTCAATTATATGTTCATTATTGAGGTCATAGTTAAAGGTGTTGTTGTACTGGACTACATTATATTCAGAGGTGTTCCTAATATTCTGACTCTCTCGTATGTCAGTGGACAGGAGAAAAATATACAGACACCTCTGAATATAATGTAGTCCAGTACGTCAGCAAATGAAGTAATTCACAAGCTCCAAAAATGGTGATAGAATTTCCGGGTGTGAAGACGAGAAATGTGGGAAATATCTTTCAAGGTAGACAGCTAAAGCTTTGCCTGACTTGTTGTTACATTTGACAACAACAGATTTATGTAGTTTTGATTTGAGGTTGGGAATATCCTCCTAAAGATAGCCAGTGCCAAGTTGCGCCACAGTGTGGACGACTATTTGTTTAGCTCTTGTTGTTTTGTCAGTGTGTCTAGGTTTTTAACTCTGTTTATATCTGCTGGGTTTGTATTTGTCTTTGAGGTGACTTTCTTTCCTCCACCTCAGGTATGGAATCTTCGAGCGCTGCAGGGAGTTAGTGGAGGCGGGCTTTGATGTTCGGCAGCCAGACAAAGAAAATGTAACGCTCCTCCACTGGGCTGCCATCAACAACAGGATAGACTTGGTCAAGTGAGTCACCTTGATTTTATATGAAGCCTTCAATATCTTAAAGGTTAGAAATAGGCCAAAAATAAATGTCCTTACTCAGAGAACTGACTATTAAAATGTGGAAGACAACGTAAATATTCTACTCTGTAAACACTGCTGGTAGTGTCTGATCTTCTGATGACTAAAAAAACAGTTCAGCCTTTTGACAAGGTGGGGAGATTGGGTTCAGCTCTACACACACAATGTTTAAACTGAGTTTTAATAACTGAACTAAAAACGCCACCAGATCGATTTGAATGAAAAGGTTGAATATTTACAGTGACTTCACAGAGTATTCAAACCCCTTCACTTTTTGAAATCGTGTTGTATATTGAAATTTAAATTGATTTGATTAATTTTTGCCCCTCAATCATTATTGAAAGCATACACTGGCTCCCTTGGATTATGTCAGACAGCATTTGAAGGACTTTGAGAACTCAATGGAAAAAGCTACTTTGGTCTGACACTAAAATTGAACTCAACACTGGAGTGGCTTCAGGACAAATCTTTTACTGTCCTTCAGTGTCCCAGCCAAAGCCCAGACTTAAAATCTACAAAACTTTTGTGGACAGACCTGAAGATGGCCATTCCCAGACACTTCCTATCCAGTCTGACAGAGCTTGAGAGGATCTGCCAGGAAGAATGGGATAAACTGCTCAAAATCAGGTGTGCAGAGCTCATAGAACCTTACCCAAGAAGACTGGAAGCTGCAACTGCTGCCGAAGAGGCTTCAACAAAGTACTGAATTAAGGGTCTGAATACTTTTGTATGACTTCAGCTTTTGATTTTTTTTTATAAATTGGCAAACATTTCTAAAAACAATATGGACTATTGAGTGCAGACTGATAGACAAAAATGTCAGTTTTGTTCAATTAAAATTAAATCTGCAATGCATTATGGATGTCAATGAGTAATCGATTATCGATTAATTGACATTAACTGATTAAAATAAGTGACAATGCAGGAGACAGTTTGTAGCTATCACTGTTGAATGAGATGGGATTACATGTGTACACAGATTATAAAATCTTCCACCTTTGTCCTTACCGTGGCAGTCATGTTGATGAACACTGCAACATATAAAATTGAGGCTTCCAGCATAATCAACAAAGTGATGAACTGTATATCTGACACCACCTTGTGTAGAGATTAACTGTGTTTCATCAGTGGCACTAAATGCTGAAGGATTTCCTAGACTGATAAAGATGGCATCTATGTATCTCTGGGACTTCTGTACCAGCTAAGCAGGAACACTTACATGTTAGATACAGAAAGCACAAGTCACTCCTATAAAATAAATAAGGGTTGGGTATCATATAAAACCAGTAAAACTGGGATCCACTGTGGGCAGAATGGAGTAACCTGTTTCATGTTTATTTTACAAAATTATAGGCTATTTACAGTTGAAGGTTACTGGTCTTTTGATAAAGCAAGAACAGGTCAGACCTGTTCCTAATTGTTTGATATGTCCAGCATGTTTAGTCTGATGGACTGTGTTCTCCAACAAAGCCTGGAACTTATACATCATCATTTGGTGTTTTTCATGCCTTGGATTTTAGTCATCTTCTTAAATAAAGCGGAACCTCGGTTTTTGTGATTAATCCGTTCAAAAAAGTCCGACGAAAACTGAATCATACGAAAACTGAAGCAATATTTCTCATAAGAAATAATGTAAATCCAATAAATCCATTCCAGACACCCAAAAATATTAACAAAAAATACATTTTACAGAGAATTACTATATTTTTACATACAGAAAACAACGAGAAATTAATATAAATGACTAATGAAATGGATAAATGAGCATTTAACATCACTTTTATCTTTACTGATGACTCCTGTTGGCATATGGAAGCCAGCGAGGAGGGGAGAGGGAGGAAGAGAGATTATTGTTTGGGGGGGGCATCCCCCTCCATAAGGACTTCATGTATCAAGGCCCTATCTGGGGTTACTTCCTTTCACTCATTTCTTCCGGGAAATGAGTGGCTGAGTCACGTGGGCAGGCGGACGAGTTTAATACGGACTAATGACGCTGAACCAACCAATCAACTGTATGAAAACCGAGCGGATGTACGAAAACTGGGACAAAATTTTGACCAAAAAAAAAGTCGTCGAAAACCGAATCGTACGAAAAGTAGGGCTTACGAAAACCGAGGTTCCACTGTATATATTGTTTAATTTATGTTGCAAGTAATGGTGTTTATCTGTAATCTAAATTTTGAGTTTGTTGATTTTACAATGAACAGATCAGTAGTTAAAACTGTTGTATAATGGAAAAAGAGCACTGTATTTTATTATTGCTAATGTGGCCCAATATCAGTTAAGGAAATATCTTAAAATTTTCATCCTTTATCTGCATACTTCATGAACTGACTGTATATGATATACAGATGACGCCAGAGGATTTACCACATTTTCCTATTCATCAAACCATTTGTTGACCCTCTGTGCTTTGTATGGGAACAGTTGCCTTAGTTATTTTCCAACACATTTATTTCCATTTTTAATTAAGATTATTACCCATATAAGCTATTTTTAAGCTTCTTCCGGCTCTTTGAAACCAGGAACTCACAAAGACGAAGTAGACCACTTGGATATATAAAAAATAACCGTGCTGGTTTATTCAAAGAATCACAGGTAAAATTAACATTACACGTCCAGATCTCTTCCACCTCCGACCTGCACGCAGGCAGACGAAGTATGAAAGACTCTGAACCATAATGCCTATACAATTTTATCACTTGGTTGGGCTAGCCCATTCTACCCAGCAACGTCAAACCGTGACGTCACCTGATATGCCAGCTTTGCAGCTGACCATAACAATAGTCAAAACATGAAGAAAGTCAAGGTGTGTGGCTGTTGATTAGTGGTGTGTATCTAAGAACATTTTGACATAACATTACACATAAGAAAATATTATGATTACCATTACAGTTACACATATCATAATAATGGCAATAACCTCCTGCCTGCAGACTTTTTCTATCTAGTTGTCCTTGGCCCACATGCAGCCTGCACAAAACTCATAAGAATGACTAAGCATTTAACAGCCTGAGCTAGACAGACTGGCTCCACTAAACATTACTAATACAACAAATATCTAATCAATATCTATCTGACTAAGAAATTACCTAACACCCATCTGTCAAATACTGTACAGAATTAGTTCCCATTTCATTGCATTAATGTAGGATTTGAATGTGGGACAAAACTGCTGGTTATTCATTCTTTATTTTACTGTTATTTTTTCACTTTGGTTGTGCAGACATCTGTATATGACAAAATGAATTAAAGGTAAAATTATTCATTCATTTATTTGTGCAATCACCTGTTTTTCAACCGCTAAAGCTGTTGGACCAGTTGAAAACGGCAGACACCAGTAAGAGTGGTTTTGGTGAAAAGACATTGCACCATCTGTGTGAAGTAGACTGCATTTTGGTGAAACGTTTGTGTTTCAAACTATAACCCGTATTTAAATATTTTGATTACTGAATATCTGTACCATCTCCTGTGTAAAAGGTTTATGAGCAAAATGCCACCAGCTTGTTTACTTCCATCTCCAACCCCAATTTGTGTGTGTACATCCCCAGTGCAAGGAGCGTTGCCGTAGGTCGTTCCTCCCCACAGCTATCAGACTGTACATCACTGCAGTGATAAGATATGTGAAATTATGAGGGACAATGCAATAGTCAACTGAGGTGCAATACTCAAATCCTGAGGGTAAAATGCATTGTAAATATGCACGTGTTAAATCTTGTCCTTGATTTCTCTCAAATACTTTACATTGTCTTGTTTTGGGTATTTTTGAGTAGTTTTTCAGAGATCCTCATGGCTGGAATACAGGTATTTCCCCAATTGCGGGATTAATTATGGGAGTAATATTCTTGTCCTTGATTTCTTGATCTCTTGAATACTATATTTTGTCTTGTTCTTTGGTATTTTGATTTGTTCTCAGGGATTAATTGTGGGAGGGTCATTCTTGATTGTCTCTCAATTGGGTTCAAGTCTGGGCTCTGGCTGGGCTACTCAATGACATTCACAGAGCCGAAATAACTTAGAAAAAATAAACTGGACTTGGATTTCTAGATCGAAGACGTTTCACCTCTCATTCAAGAGGCTTCATCAGTTTTGACTGACTGGCGTTGAGCCGGAGATATTTATCCCCATCGGTGGTGTTTCAGTCCTTTGAAGGCCAACAATGTCCCTTGACGACTGAGTTCGTTACAGCCCAGTATCGGTGAGAGTAGTTACCTGTCTTTGGATCTTCCCCTGTCAGCCGACGACTATTGTCCTGGTGGGCATGTTTGGGCAGAGATCTCAAAACAGGGTTGTAGATGGAAGACAAGTTGTGTCTTAGTCCACCACCCCGATTTAGTGAGGGGTGTTCTATTTGAACAAAAATAGCTTCCTTAACTCCTCTTTCAAACCAGCGATGTTCTCTGGAGAGGATCTGGACTTCACTGTCCTCAAAAGGATGTCCTTTATCCTTCAGGTGGAGGTGGACTGCTGACTCTGGTCCACTGGAGTTGGCCCTCCTGTGTTGGGCCATGCGTTTGTGAAGCGGCTGCTTAGTTTCACCAATGTACAAGTCGTTACACTCCTGACTACACTTAATGGCATACACCACATCACTCTGTTTATGACCATTCAGACCATTCAGAACTGATGAAGCCTCTTGGATGAGAGGTGAAACGTCTTCGATCTAGAAATCCAAGTCCAGTTGATTTTTTTCTAAGGTTATTTCGGTTTACTATGGCCTGGATGACTGAGAATCTGCACAGACGACATTCACAGAGTTGCCCTGTATCCACTCCTTTGTTATCTTGGCTGTGTGCTTAGGGTCAATGTCCTGTTGAAAGATGAACCGTCGCCCCAGACTGAGTTCCAGAGCACTTTGGAACAGGTTTTTCATCAAGGTACATTGCTGCAGTCATTGTTTCCTCGATCCTGACTAGTCCCCCAGTTCCTGCCACTGAAAAACATCCCCACAGCATGATGCTGCCGCCACCATGCTTCACTGTAGTAATGGTATTGGCCAGGTGGTGAGCGGTGCCTGGTTTCCTCCAGACATTAGTTCAATCTTTTGTTTCATCAGACCAGAGAGTTTTGTTTCTCATGGTCTGAGAGTCCTTCAGGTGCTTTTTGGCAAACTCCAGGTGGGCTGCCATGTGCCTTTTACCAAGGAGTGGTTTCCGTCTGGCCTCTCTACCATACAGGCCTGATTGGTGGAGTGCTGCAGAGTTGGTTGTTCTTCTGGAAGCTTCTCCTCTCTCCACAGAGAAAAGCTGGAGCTCTTTCAGAGTGACCATCAGGTTCTTGTCACCTCCCTGACTAAGGCCCTTCTCTCTTGATCGCTCAGTTTGGCCGGGCGGCCCACTCTAGGACAAGTCGTGGTGGTTCCAAACTTCTTCCATTTACAGATGATGGAGGCCACTGTGCTCGTTGGGACCTTCAATGCTGCAGAAATTTTTCTGTACCCTTCCCAAGATCTGTGCCTTGATACAATCCTGTCTCGGAGATCTACAGACAATTCCTTGGACTTCATGGCTTGGTTTGTGCTCTGACATGCACTGTTAACTGTGGGACCTTATATAGACAGGTGTATGCCTTTCCAAATCATGTCCAATCAACTGAATTTCCCACAGGTGGACTCCAATCAAGTTGTAGAAACATCTCAAGGATGATCAGTGGAAACAGGATGCACCAGAGCTCAATTTTGTGTGTCATGGCAAAGACTGTGAATACATGTGATTTTTTTTGTTTGTTTGTTTTTTATTCTTAATAAATTTGCAAAGATTTCAAACAAACGTTTTTCACGTTGTCATTATGGAGTATTGTTTGTAGAATTTTGAGGACAGTAATGAATTTAATCCATTTTGGAATAAGACTAACATAAAATGTGGAAAAAGTTAAGCGCTGTGAATACTTTCTGGATGCACTGTAACTTGGGGATTTGTCTGGTGTGACATGTTAATGGCAGTGTTGCATACTGTATGTCCAGTACCAAGTTTTGTGTCTTAGCAGTTTGTTCCACCAGGTCTCTGCAGGTGTAGCATCCTTCTACCACTCCATTTCCTTGTCATAGATAGAGCCTACAATCTGACTGATTTTGAGTCCAGTTTTGCAGTTCACACTTGGATTAGATTTACAGAAAGAGGTCAGATTCTTGGATAGAAGTTTCACCTGATAATTGGTTGTATGTGCAGGTACTACATATCGAAGGGAGCCATAGTTGACCAGCTGGGAGGTGACCTCAACTCCACACCTCTACACTGGGCCACAAGGTAACACCCACCCATCACTGATGACATATTTGCCACTAGGCTGACACATTACATCCACAGAGCAATGCCTTTGTATCATTTTGTTAAAATCTCTTTCTTCCATTCATATTTCTTTCACATTTCTTTCGCATAAAGGAACTGAATCAAAGAAATGTATATTTTAATCTCTTTCTTCTGGTTGCCAATAAACATCAGAATTATTTTATTGTACTTTCCGGTGATGAGCTTATCAAGTGGGACAAGGTCACTTGGGCCAAAATCCTAGCTGAAAAGGAAGAGCCACTTTGCATGGCAGTGTCTCATTCTAAACCATTCCTGCAAACATACATTATGCCTAGACTGTTCATCGCCATCTTCTTTATTGCAGTTTTATTTTTTTCCACCGTTGTGTTACTATGATCTCAACTTCTTAATTTGAAGGTGTTTTATGTGCTCCTTTCTCTTGGTAATAATCACTGTTATGCTGTAAACTGAAAGGAGGTGATGCGCACATGAGATCCACCCACCTCTCTTGATCAGACAGAGGCTCCATGAAACTCTCCTCCTGAATTATTGATAGGCTTGACAACAGGGGTCCACACCATCTCTGTTGTGCAGACACTCTGGAGTCCTGCATCTCCATCCAGCTGTACCTCAAACTACCTCCCCATCTGTCTCCATCTGCCTTTGACCTTTAAAAGCCCCGTATTCGCCTCCTCTCATCTGTATGACCTCACTCGTTCACACCCATGCTGGAGTTGAGTGCAGGGTGTTAACAGTTTTGTGTACACGTGTGGTGTAAGTGACATGCACTTCTCACTGTCATTTTTACCACTTTATTCTCTGAATTTTATTGTCCTTTGGGGGGAGTTTACATTACATACGAGATTAGTAATAAAATGATGGTTTATTACAAGCAATAAAAATGTGTTACACCACAAACATCAAATGATAGGAGAAGACAAGGAATCAGTTAATGAGGATGCATCATTTCACGTGCAGATATGGCAGTTTAATAGCAGGGAGAATATTTGAGACCCTGATCTTTGGACTGTTTAGTCTGACCTGTTCACCCACTCAGCACCAGTGAAAATGGCTTTGTTATTGTTCACCCCAAACCTCTAAATGACTAGAGGTATTTGCACAGACATGTTACAGGCTGTTTTTATTTGTTCCATTTCAGTGTTTTGTATATTGTGTGCTCATCTACTCCCAGACAAGGCCATCTATCCATGGTGGTGCAGCTCATGAAATATGGCGCAGACCCATCTTTGATTGACGGCGAGGGCTGCAGCTGTGTCCATCTGGCCACCCAGTTCGGCCACACCTCCATCGTGGCCTACCTTATCGCCAAAGGACAGGTAGGATGCACACACCCCAGTGTTTCCACCAGAAAATGTTTCAGGCAAGGTGCCAAGAGGATATGAGAGGTTTTGTGTGCACACGTTAAAATTTTTGGTTATCTATTTCTTGCACAACACAAAACCTTTGGTTGGTAATTTCCTTGTAAAGATCATGTATTAATAAAATGTATTTATTGCACACAAACAACTGTCAGCTACCCGTTAGTTCACAATTGAAGAAGTTAGAACAATCTTTAAGAAAATGAAATAAAAATATAAAATCCACATAATGAAGTAGCTTACATCAAATAATGAAACTAAAATAAATTAAATTTGGTGCAAACTGCAATTTTGAAATGAACTGCTTATTTTCTCATCATGAGCACAGTGTGCATGACTCATTGCTGCACTTAATTTTTCTCCGCATTGAAAAAAAAATTTCACCGTGGTATCAATGCATGAAAATTCTCCCACAAAATACCCATTTATTGATATTTTCCTACAGGCTCCCAAGTGCTTTCCTTGCAGCCTGTTCCAGAGGTCTGTTTTCACCTAGTAAATTCAAAAATTTAAGGATAGATTTATTTGGTGGAGGAATCGTGTTCATAGTTCACACTACCCAGAGAAACAGTGAGTATGATGGCAGAGAGCTTGCTCAGGCAGGGGTAAAACTGACCAACACATTTCCATTTAAAACTTAGTTCAAAATGTATCTTTTTAAATTTAGTTTTAAACAAATTGGAATTTACCATGGATAGTCTGATACAACCACAGGTTATATTTGGGGTTTTTTAACCACTCTGGGTCCTAGCCGCATGTTCTGTTTGCTTCTGTTTTGCTTCTGCAGCTTGTGTTTGACCCATAGCCTGTATACCTGCATCACCGATGCTTATGCTAATACCAAAGCCCCCACCGCCCCCCTTCTGCCCCTCTTCTTCGTCTTCAGGTGTTTTGGAGATAAATGTTAATATTTTTGGTTGAGTATCCCCTGGCTTCCTCTCCCAAGCACAAATAATTATTGACAGATCTTTTCTCCATTATTATGGAGGAGTTTGAAAAACCATGATGGGAAAAGGGTGTTTTATACAACAACACATTTCCCTCAATTGTTTTATAATTGTTTATTCGTGTTTGTGTCCGTGTCATTTGAGGACAAGTCTGTGTTTTAAGTTGTGTGCTAATGATCTCCATCAAGTGGAGCCATATTGCCTGTCTTTTTCTCCCATCACATCTCCGTTTGGTTCCTGTGCTCCTTCAGTTGTTTTATTGTACCTTCCCTTTATAACAGGATGTGGACATGATGGATCAAAACGGCATGACTCCTCTGATGTGGGCGGCTTACAGGACACACAGGTGTGTATATTACAGTTTAGTGTTCCTGTTGACTTTGTCTGCAGCTGGGATGAGAATCAGCACCTCCAAATCCGAGGCCATGGTTCTCAGTCGGAAAAGGGTGGCTTGTTCCCTTTGGTTTGGTGGTTGCTTATTGAGTTCCTGCCTCAAGTGGAGGAGTTTAAGTATCTTGGGGTCTTGTTCACGAGTGAGGGAACGGGAGATTGACAGGCGGATCGGTGCAGCTTCTGCAGTAATGCGGTCGATATACCGGTCTGTCGTGGTGAAGAAGGAGCTGAGCTGTAAGGCAAAGCTCTTGATTTACTGGTCGATCTACGTTCCGACTCTCACCTATGGTCATGAGCTTTGGGTCATGACCGAAAGGGCAAGATCCTGGATACAACCAGCCGATATGAGCTTTCTCCACAGGGTGGCTGGGCGCACCCTTAGAGATGGGGTGAGGAGCTCGGTCACCCGGGAGGAGCTCAGAGTAGAACCGCTGCTCCTCCACATCAAGAGGAGCCAGCTGAGGTGGCTCGGGCATCTGTTTCGGATGCCTCCTGGGCACCTTCCTACCTGTAAATGAGTCAGAATTCATTAGACACACTGCTAACACAGGGAAACAAGTCCCATTGTTGCTGCTCAACTTCATATGTCGATTCCCTGATTAGATATTTTTCTCAGTAATCATGTCTATTTGTATTTTATTTTTATTTTAAATTCATCCATTGATCCATATCATTAACAGCATGATGGAGATGTAAAAATTGAAATTAGTAATGAATAGTTCATTGCTTTCTAGAACTTAAAAATGTCCGTTATTCACCACAGACATTTATTTGACAGGTTAGCAAACAGTAATCATAGTTATTACTCGTTTCTTTGTTGTTGTCGCTAAGTTATCCTCCACAACAAACCCTCTATGGCAGAAAAGTGCTGATGTGCTAAGTTCTGTTGGTTTTGAGTGGCACACACCTGTCCACAACCATTACTGTATCACGTTGTCCTAGAATTGATGTAAAAATGTCTTTAATAGCTTTTGATTTTGATTTGTAACAACATTGTTCTTGTGAACCCGCATGCAGAATTGCAATGCAAATTATAAAGACCCAAATTTTGCACTGTTTGACCTCGTTTTCTGTAGCCTATGTCAAACTGATGACTCAGCTAGACTTGATTTCTGCCTCTGTATGATAGTGTGGATCCTACCCGGCTGCTACTGACGTTCAACGTGTCTGTCAATCTTGGCGACAAATATCACAAGAACACAGCGCTGCACTGGGCCGTGCTGGCCGGCAACACCACTGTCATCAGCCTGCTGCTGGACGCCAATGCTAACGTTGATGCACAGAACATCAAGGTAGTGTCTTCCTCATGGCCTGATCCGCTGTCCATGTGCACATAATTGTTTGATAATAAAATGTATGTAGACAGTTAATGCTATGACTAAGAATGGTGGAGATGTAGCCAAAGTTTTTTTTCTTAAGATAAATGTGCATAAATTGGTCGTCTGTTGTTTTTTAGGGCGAAACACCGCTAGATCTTGCTAAGCAAAGGAAGAATGTTTGGATGATCAATCACTTACAGGAAGCACGGCAGGCCAGAGGCTATGACAGCCCATCCTACCTGAAGAGATTGAAGATGGACAAGGTACACACATGCACACACATGCTTAAATACTTTTTTTATTATACATTAAAAGAGAGGCACAGTTAGTCAGAGTAGAAAAACTGTCAAGCCACATCAAATATGGTTTCAAATTTGAAGCATTAGAGACAGGCAATAAATTTTGAGTCTCTTCTTTGGGACTAAGTTTTAACTGTCTAAACTTTGCTGTAAAACACATTGTTGTTAGTTCACTGGGTGACCTCCCTTCTTCACTTCAAACAGACATGCTCAGACCCGCTTGTCCAGGTCGAATCTTTGTACTGCTGCAGTGTTGTAGCATGTCTGAGGTAGTGGTTTTGTTCTTTTGCTGTGTACTGCGTTTCTCAATTCTCAGACAATCTGACAGGAGAGAGAGGGCTCTCAAATGTCCTGCTGTGTTTGACAGTATGTGCTGGAAAATATCAGAACTTTTTAACTACCCGGTCTGACCACAAGTGGGGGTCATTCATGTGCATTTGAATAATGATGACTCTTCTTAATTGAACTTGACTCCTGGAGTACGAGATGCTCAGATATTTATTTAGTTAGTTGTCAGAGTAGGTGATTGAGCCAAAACATCCAGACTCCTGTGGTTGGTGGTTTCCCGTCTTGGTAGAAGATGTGTAGATTTTTCTGTGTGTTTGAATCTAAATGTCTAAATGTTCTACGTTGGTTTGCAGTAGGTTTTAAGGTTAAGTCTTTATTTTAACCTTGTTTGAATGTGTCTTCCCACTTGTCTGCTGAGACTTTCAGTTAATTAAGGTCAACTTTAGAATTAGACAAAAAAGTTTGCATCCAAAAAAATTGACAAAAATTGATAAGAAAAATCCCCAAATCCTGACAGTGTGTCACAGTTACCCCTTGTACACTGCCCATTGAATGCGGGGTTTTTCCGCCAGTTCTCTATGTTCTGCAAAAAAGGTACAGTCACAGCATGGGGGGTGGCATTGTTGACCCTCCAAAATACCACAAGAGGTACTATTTTTTTCCCTCAAGATGAGTTCTCCCCCCACCTCTTGTGTAAACAGGATGAGGTGGAATGGGGGCTTGGAGGTTTGCATGAGAGAGAGAGAGCAGCGTGAACAAGAACAAAGTGAATCAAAAAATTAAAATGTTATTTTGTGATTGTTTTGCTATGGTAAAGCATGAATAAACACAGCTAGATCTTTGCATATACCCGTGGGATATATTTTATGTGACTGCAGCCCCATCATATGCATGAGACTAATCTGCTGTGCGTGTGCGTGTGTGTGTGTGTGTGTGTGGCCCTGCTCTCAAACAGACACACAGACCTGAAATTGGATCCAGGTTGTAGGCTACTGTAATTCCTAATTTCCATTCATAAATATATGAAACAAAGTCAGATGGCAGCCCGTTTGTTTCATTTTCAAATTAGCTGCAAAGTACACGGACTGTCAGACGTCATGAGAAGCATATGCCTCTAGGACTGGAATTTCTAGCACCTGTGTGAAATGAACATAGGAGCAGCAGTTTTCTGGCTTTTTTAAGTTCATTGTAAAAAGGCTTAAATCAAAAAAAAGTTGCCTTAAAGGAGGGTCAAAAATACCAGCAGTTTGCTGTGATCTCTGTGTAAAAGGGGCTCATGTTTATAGATTTGACAAGTTATTCATTGTAGTCCAGATCCCTTGTCAGGCCCACTGATGAGTCGAGTCGAGTCTGCTTTGATGGCTTTGTAGATGCTTCTTTATTGTTTGTTTCCACCTGATGCTTGAAATTCACTTCTTCAGTATTATTCTAGGGCATTTAACAAGAAATCATCAAAAAATGTATATGCCTATTTCGTTACTGCTGTTTAATAGCACAGTATAAATTGTAAGGAACCTTCTTACACTGACAGAGCTTTACTCAGTATTTTCCGACCAATCTCCTTTCAATTTCCTAGCTATGTCCTCCTGTATCCTTTGGCTCTTTATCCCTTCACCTTCTCCTTCTGCAGGAGTTCAGGCAGAAGGTGATGCTGGGAACACCCTTCGTGGTCATCTGGCTAGTTGGTTTCATCGCTGACCTGAATATTGACTCCTGGCTCATCAAGGGCATGATGTATGCTGGTGTCTGGGTTGCTGTGCAGTTCCTCTCCAAGTATGTCTCTCTACTAAGTCTTTAGTATGGTTTATCAAAGTGATTTCGATGTGTCGACAGCAATTTCATATAATATTAAGAATATACTGGGCAAGGTTTTCAGAACCAACACATAAACTATATGTACCCATATCCGTGCTTGTAAACATGCAATTTCCAACATTTCTCATGCATTCACAAACGCGTACCCTTTGCTTATGCCCCCCTATCTCTGCCATCTGGTCCTGCTGTGAAGTTTGTTGTGCCTCTCACCGCTGTTAGCAGTCTTAATACAATACCTTACAATAACCAGTGTTTTAGCTTCTATATTTAACAACATTCTTGCAGTGCCTGCTTGGTGGAAAAAAAAACAAAACAAAAACGGTAGTGAATAGAAGAAAATAGTGAATATGAGTGCTATCAAGTCTAGCTGCAGTGTGTCATTATATGGTTCGGTTTATTTTTGTTTGCATTTATCTATATGTGCGACAGTGAGCGGGTTTCTTTCACATCTCCACAAGGAATGCTTTTGAGGTGGAAAACATATAAGTTATGACCTGAGCAGTGTCTGTACTGGGAATAATATTCTGACTTATTATAATTTGACCTGAACTTGAAACATAAGCCTCAAGTTGTAGTGTACTGGAATTCCCCTTTAACAGTGACAGTTTCAAAGTCAGTATGATCATATGTCTTAGGGTTGTCACACTGTTGGACTGACAAAGTGCAGTGTGGAAATTAGACAGTGGCTGAGTTTAACAAAAGAAAAAAATAGATAAAACTTAACCACTGAGACCAATTTAAGACACACTGCTAAGAATGTCACCCCTCCTCCTCTCTCTGTGTGCAGGGCTTTCTTTGACCACTCCATGCACAGCGCTCTCCCTCTGGGAATCTACCTGGCCACCAAGTTCTGGATGTACACCACCTGGTTCTACTGGTTCTGGAATGATATCCTTTTCTGTCACAGACTGCAACAGCCTTGACTTCCTTTTCCTAAAGGAGTAAGTTGACATTCTGGGGACATTTAATTTCATGCCAAAAGTCAGATTGATATCAGTATAAATTTTGTGCAGGAAAAATGAAGTTCCCAAATGTAGCCAATTAGCTTAGCGTAAACAGCTACACTGTATCTGTCAAAAGGAAACAAAATCTGCCTACCATCTACCTACATCATCTATCTACACAGTAACCTGTTGTGTAACTACAAAATGACATTTTTTTTATTTAAATAGTAAGTAATTGTGTTCCTAATTCCCATGCTGGAAAAGGTTGCACTTAAGTCTGATGATGTGATGATGTGATTTCTCTGACCAATTACTAGTCTGCAGTGTTTACACATCACCATTTGGTATCACCTCTGCTCACTTGGAACCTTGATGGAGGTGATGCCAAAAATAGTACCAGGTACTATCCCCAGCATTTGACTGCTGGAAACACAAATAAAGCAAGTCGAATGGAGTTGCACTGGTACCAGCTGGTGGAAAGGGGACTTAAGAGTTACAGAAAGGCTTTTCTGTCCACCTATGGGCACCTTTTATTTGCCCACAGCCCTCTTATGTGTGAGTGTCAGAGATTTTAGACCTGACACACATTGTCTGTTTACTGGACTAAATGCAACAATTCACAGCATTACAGTTCTCCCCCATGTTCATTAAAGTGAGCTATGTATTCTTGGTTTATAAGAAATTACAAGTGTCATGCAACATAAGCCAAGAGGGTTTATGAATGTGTTGGTACCAGTGTATTTGCCAAATGGGCCCTCTTAGCAGGGAGGGTCTCAATAAAATATGGGCTTGTAAAATAAATTTTTACCAGCTTCTACTGCTTGAGTTGTGTTTTGCCAGAAGAAGGCAGGAGCAAAGCTTGTGCTGGCAAACTGGAACATTAGTGAGATTGAGTTACAGGCCATTTTTAGTGGGATAAAGGAATGCAAATGGAGAACGGTTGATGTAAAGGGAAGAAGAAGGGGGTGTAGTTATGTTAAACAAATGCAGACAAAGTGACACAAGCTGTTGGGTCTCATTGTCATGTAGAATAACTCCTGTGTCTGAATGAATACACATAGTTTTAAGTATGTGTTGCTGTGTTAAAATAGTGAACAGGGAGTTGAGTTGGCCTCAGTGTGGCTGCTCTCTCAGTTTTTGTTCCTAGAACCATTTCCCTTCTGTTCAGATGCTGCTAATTGCAGGAGATGAGAGGGGAGCTCTTGTTTGTGGAAGGCATTTAATTTCCCGCCTCACTGCTTCAGTAATGGGATGGGAGGGTAAGATGTCTTTGACCTGAGCTTATTGAAAAAGTCAACGGTGCTTGAAAGGTTTTTTATATGTGGTTTGAGCACATTTTTCACACATGAGTGGTGCATCTACTCAGGATGAAACTGATTGGAATCTGCTACATTGACAGGCATGTTCTTCACCTGCTCTCTAAGCCAGGAGTCTACTGCATAGGTTTTCACATATGCATTGATCTTTAAAGGGCAAAGGTTTGGTGATGTTACATCCTGTGCTCTGGTAGATGTTTGTTCATACATGGATCGTTTACCACATGGAATGTTGTCTCTTTGAGTCAAGTGAGACAGGTCCTTGAAGACATTTACTTGTTAAAAATAAATGACTTCAGACTTCTCTTAAGTCCTCCAACTATTGAAGTTGTCATTGAGTCTGTATGTCGACCATGAATCTTCCTAGAAATGGTGTCTTTCTCCTGCCTTGAAACACATGCTGTTTCATGTTCCTGACAACACAGGAGTTTAGCTTTTCCTCCTTCAGACCTGCAGCTGTAGGCGGGCTGTTATTCCCAGTGCCCAGTGGTGGCAGCGCATTTTCTAATCGCATTCTTTTATGGAAATCAAGCAATATGAATATCAGGAGCACTGTAGGACAACATGATATATGTACTTGTTGTAACTGGAAGTTATTAATTCATTTAAAGTTAACAGAATGGCACTCTTCATGCTGTTAATTGGCAACACCATCACCAGATTTTCCCACATCATTTTGATACCGTTACCCACAAGAACAAGTGCCCAGTGGTCCCTATAATTAAGGCGTAGGTATGCTCAAAATGAATTAGCGATTCAGAAAGTTTTTTGTTGCACGGTTTTCACAGCACTTGGTTTATGAGTCAGTGATCATTTTCTGTATTGGTTAGCATGCTGGTTGTTTTCTTGATTAAACGACTGTTCATTTAGTCTATGGAATGTCAAAAAGTAGTGGAAACTCCCCACAGCCCAGGGTGTGATGTCTTAGATTTGGTTCGGTTTCATTAAGTTTCATATTTGAGAGGGAAAAGGAGAAAGTCATCATACTTGTGAGGCAACATTTTCGCTTGAAATATGAGTGAAACAACTGCTTAATCATCAAAATTTTCACTGATTAACTAACTACTCAATGAATCGAGTAATAAACATGGCAGATCTATTGTTATGCACATAAAAATTGAAAGTAATAGTTGTGTGAAGGATTGAAAGGGGGAACCTGCAAGAGACGATTAAAATGTGACCTACTTTGTCACCATTAGACCTGCTATAGCTGATTACTGTGTGAAGTGGGCATGATTATCACATTTCCAATGAAAATGTTTGCGTGCAGAACCCGATATCCTACATTGAAGAAGCGTGGGGGTTTCATTCATCCAGCATACTGATGCTTTTAAAGTTCTCCTTTGTAATCTGCAGTCTGTGGTGCCAAGGGAGACATCTGTTAACTCTGTGGCCCTTCAGAGCCTGGTTACATAAACTGGGGGGCCAAGGCCCAGTGCGGGCTGCTTGAGTCCCTCCAGTTTGTACAAGCCTGCAGTTCTAATTAACTCATATTGAACTTGAAGATGGGAATATAAACCTTTCATTTCATCACGGGCTAAAAGAGCCTAGCATCAAGTTTGAAGTGACCTGATTATCTGGTCAAATGTGACAGGAGACATTTTCATTTCATATAAAGTAAGATAAAGTCTGCCCTGCATACCGTCATTAGTGCTTCTGTTTTTTGTAAGCATTTTGCTTGTGTATCTTAAGTGTTTTGCACATCTTGAGCAGTTGAGCACACATTTAGTCTGAGCATGTTAGCTACAGCTTTTTTACCTTTTCATTTCATGATATACTGTTGGGTTTATCCTTTCATTTAATGACCTTTAATATGCAAGGAGGTATTGCAGCATAGAAGGAGAGGTACATTTTTAATGTTAAAATAACACCTTAATAATTTTGATTGTAGACTAGCCCCTAACTGGGTGAATGGCATCTCTCCTATTGCCACTGAATGCCCAGATTGTTATTGCACTATGCAACTTAGGGTGAGTGTTCCTGACAGCTCTCACCAGAACTGCGTAACGCTTTACAGCACCATACCCTTCCGCTAGCTCAGTATTCTATGATTCTTACACACATGCAGAGACAAATCCCCAGGCCTTTGTTGAGTTTTGGTATTTTTTTCATTGGAGAAAGTAACCATTTAGACTGAGACTATGTGGTCAGTTTATCTAAGTAATGCAATTCAGAATTTGTTCCGACATTTTTGGAAATGTTAGTACTTGTTGTCTGACCAAACTAGCTCTATTAGCAGGCAGATACATCTTGTTCAGGCCACAGTCGTCTGTCAGTAAGAACGTTATAGCTGCATTTCCACTGTTGGAAATTTGCTCTGATGTTTCAGGGTTCAAGGATTTTATTGTCAATTCACCATATGTGCAGGACATACAGAAAATCGAAATACCGTTTCTCTCTCACCTAGTATTGGGTGCCATAACATTTAGGAACTAAAATAGAGTAAAATAGAATAGAATAAGACCTGGATTGACGTAATTAGGAGAAATCTAAACGGTACAGCCAATAAACTGTGACTCAAAGCCATGTACAGTGACAGTAAAGTACACTGTCAAATGTATATTGTGTGATATGGGCGCATACTATGTATGTTGCCAACAGTGTTTCATTCCATTACCCATATCTGTATTCAAACGGTTTGAAAATACAAGCAGTAGTTCAGTAAAACAAAAAAAACTGCCTTTATTCTAAGTGTTCATCTTCAGTGACACAATAAATAAACCTAGGCAGGATTATATTTGTATAAAACCCTGTAATATTATTTTATCGTTCTTTGGCTTCTGATGTTTTCTTTCCTGGTTCAGTAATGGCTTTAACTTGTATACAAATGCACGTGTAAGCTACTGCAACTAGTATTTGTGACATTTGGGTATAACTCATTGACTAACTGGCACCATCTTTGCATCTCCACTAGTGAGTGAGTTTGCAAACTAATGACCTGCTCCACACAGTGTTATCTTATCAGATAGTTGTACTAGATGGCACTGTCAGCTCTGAGTTCTTTATGGAGATACAGTACTTGGGAGTATGATTTTGAGCTTCATAAACACAAATGTTAAGGCAGAAGTGTTGCATTGAAGTACTTACAGATGTACAGGTGGTCATAATGTTGTGCCCGATCGGTGTATATGTGTATATACACACACATATAAGCTCACAAACCTATCGCCTCTGATCATTGAAGCATTACATTAGCAACATAACCACTGCTAATACCTCTGCTTTAAAGCATGACAACTATAACTTGTTTTTAAAGATGCACAATATAGCTTTAAGTGGTGCGTATTAAGGTGGGTGTCATAGCAACCTGATTGTGGTTCAAACAAAAAAAAGCATCTTCCTTAACCTCACTGTACATCTGCCATTTGCCACTGTCCATGTGCCCTTCCTGATAAACACCCTGGCTCTATTCTACAACTTTGGAAAATCTTGGAAGTCTGACCCGGGAATCATCAAAGCATCAGAGGAACAGAAGAAAAAGGTTGAGTTTCAAGGAACAAACATTGTGTAAAGTATGGTTCTAGTGTGTTTTGTACAGGTCAGATAATTTTTCTCACATTCTGATATAACATGGGGTGTTAGTTCAGCTGTGAACATTTCATTGGCTGACCCTCCTGCCCCAGCCACCCACAGTTGTGGTCCCTGTCCCTCATTATCACCCTCTTAACAGCAGACAGCTAGAACCCAGTTTCTCATCAGGTCCTGATTCTCCATTCTGTGATGAAGAGCTAAATTTACCCTGCATTGTTGGCACAGGGCAGGACTCACCATAGTTTGGGCTAGCCAACACCCTCAGAAATAAATAAAAAAAAAAGACTTCAAAGCCTTCCCTTCCCCGTAGAGGATCCCCTCCAACTCTTGTTTTCCTGTGATAACAGTGGAGATTATGATTTTTGGATCTTTAGTTCATTTGCACAGAGATAAGTTATTAAAGCAAGCTGATAAAAAAAAGAAAAGAAAAAACAAAGTAACCCATTTCTCATATGTGGGATAACCTCCTTTTAAAAGGCATTTTGCCTTTAAAAACAGAAAACAAACTTGTGTAAATCCCACAGTAGCCTTGGCCCCACATCATCATGAGTCAGCTGAGTTCCCAGTGTGATTGTTGAGCTGGAAATCCCAGCCTCAGTTTGTCAGTGCTGCAGTGTCAAACCTCAGTTCATTCATTTTATTTGCAGTGTGTTCTGTTAAAATCCTGCTTGTGTTTCTTGTTTCCTTCCTCCAGACAATTGTGGAGCTTGCAGAGACTGGCAGCCTGGACCTAAGCATATTCTGCAGCACCTGCTTGGTAACATCTGCCTCCTTTTTGTTTTTTGTTTTTTTTGCACAGACACTGATCATCAGATAATATTAATAGTAAAAGAAATGAAGGGGGAAAAAAATCCCTTGTACCCATTTCCTTACAGATACGGAAGCCCATCAGGTCCAAACACTGCGCTGTGTGCAACCGCTGTATCGCCAAGTTCGACCATCACTGTCCCTGGGTGGGGAACTGTGTCGGTATGTCAGCAACAACACAGATTTATGATGATGTCAACAACCAAAGCCACACAGGCTCTTTACAACAAGTAGCTGCTCTCATAGTATCACTCCTTAGAAAGAGAGTTGTTGGCTTTTTATTGTTTTCTCAGCTTCAGATCCCACTCAAAGAAGCAACATGTCCTCATTGAAGACTGCTGGGGCTCAAAACACCAAATACATAGTGAGAGAAAATAGAAAGTTGAGCGATGTTGATTGTAAAATAAAACCTTATAACAAGATGCGTGTAATGAAGAGGGAAATAAAGTGAAGCGGAGTGAGGAAAAATTCCTAAGTGGAGCAAGTGTGTATGTTGAGGATTGTTTGAGGATCCAGAGGATCCAGAATGCAGGGGGCTTGTAACAGTCATTTTGAAAGCAGGTGGTCAGGATGGAACTTTAAAAGTGAGGAAATCTTCTGAACAAACAAAGAGTCCCCAGACTGAAAGATGTCAGCAGCCAAGGGCACTGACAGAAACCCAGACTATGACAGACCCTGGCTTTTGGACTAGTTGCTGGTAGCATTCTAGATGGTCTTTTTTGGAGGTCTGGAGCACAGAGCATCCATTCCTTCCAAGAAATACTGATTTGTCTGACCACAATACACGTTTCCACTGTGTGATGATCCATCCCAGATGCCTCTGAGCCCAGACTGTGCTTCTGGACACTGTTGACATAGGGCTTCCTTTTGGCACAGTACAGTTTTATGCAGTATTTATGGATGTAACTAGTTATTGTAGTGCCTGGCACAGGTGTGCCAACGTAATCCTGAGTCCATGTACAGTAGTTATATAGCTTATAGAAGAGTGCCGATTCTTGATGCGGTGCCGTCTGAGGGATCAGAGAGCACGGTCATCCAGTTTCAGCTCACACTCTCACCCTTTATGCAGTGAAATCCCTCCAGATTCCTTGAATCTTTTAATTATGTTATGCACCATAGAGGGTGACGTATCCAGTCCTTTCCTGTCTTTCTTTGAGGAACATTCTTTTTAAACATTTCAATAATTTTCTTTTGCATATATTGTCAAACTGGTGGTCCTTGGCCTTTCCTGGATGCCACTTTTGCACCAAATCACAATTTCAACCACCTGTTAACATCTCCTGTTTTCAAATGGAATCATCATTTCATTGTTTTACCTCAAACCATCCAAACCTTGCAGACATCAGAATTGAAGTGGTTGTTTATTTTGAACAAAGAATAAAGTTGATGAGGTACCACATCAAATAATGTGCTGCTGTATTGTTTTCAATGTAATACAGCACACAGTTGATTTACAAATCAAGATTTTCAGTTTTAATTTTGGTTTTGCAGACTGTCCCAATTTTTTTGAATTGAGGTTGTAAACATCTCACAAACTAATGGCGTTCCCATCAGCCTCAGATACAGTACACTTTGGGTTCCGTGCTAGTAGGCCAGCGTACAGACTTGTTAAACTAAGATGGTGAACAAACCATACATGGCAAACATTACTTGCTAAACATTAGGATGTAGGCATGTTAGTATGGTGATGTTAGCTTTCAGCTCAAAGCTAAACTGCTAGTATGACTGTAAACTGTCTAGTCGTAGTTAACCTATCTAAACACTTTTCCTCATACACAGCAAAGATTTTAGTAGAAGTAAACCGAAGTTGAAGAAAAATACTGTTAAAAGTTTTTGATATGCCTTCCACAATGTCTGACTCATTCCATTTGGTCAAAGTGAACATCCACTGTTCAGCAGAGAACTTGACTGGTGGGGATTTTTGAACTGCGGTTGAATAGCGAAATAAACCAACTCATCCCAATCACTTCTGGATTTTTTATCAACCGTTTTCTTGTCTTAGCTTTACTTGAGTTGGCAGAGGCAAACAAAGCGGCAAACAGGTGATGAGAAAAGGACGATGTTTCTTTTCTACTACAGGAAGTGGGAATCACCGCTACTTCATGGGTTATCTCTTCTTCCTGCTCTGCATGATCTGCTGGATGATATATGGCTGCATCTCCTGTGAGTAACAAAGCTTTATTAAGATTTTGTTTTCTTGTTCTGGTTGCACACTACAATCTTTTTCTCACCTAACTTAATTCTCTTTGCCCTCAGACTGGAGGATTCACTGTGCCACTAGTTATGCCAAGGATGGTTTCTGGCTCTATCTGACCCAGATCGCCTCCTGTTCCCCCTGGATGTTTTGGATGTTCCTCAACAGCATCTTCCACTTCATGTGGGTGGCTGTGCTCATCATGTGTCAGCTTTACCAGGTCTGGCTTTACTTTTTATACACCACTTTAAAAGCAACAGTTTCAGTTGGCTGACTGATAATAGCTGTAATCTATTGGTATTTCAGTACGTCTTTACACCCATGTTACTCTCAAATGTTTCTGAAAAGTTGGCTGACCTTTTTGCTTCAACCTCGCACAGATCGCCGCTCTGGGAATCACCACCAATGAGAGGATGAACGCTCGGAGATACAAGCACTTTAAAGTCACAGCCACATCCATCGAAAGCCCATTCAAGTAAATGATGTTCTCCTAGCTCTTTTCTACAGAAAGCTGAGTGTCATCATCTGAGCTGGGCTGCAGTAATAACATTAAAGGGCTGGTTCACCCAAATGAGGAAAAAAATGTTCCCACTTAGCATCAGTGGTTTCAAATTTTAGTTTTTATGTTTTTGGTTTTGAAATAGCAGGCTCTTGAGATTTCTCAATACAATGGAGATCAGATGAATTTCTTTAGTGATTAAAACACACACAACCACACACACCAGAATGTCTTACTGGCAGTGATGTTTGGCAGTAGTTTTCTGTGGAATTACCTCCTACAGAGGACATAGTCCCTGTGACAACTATTGCTAGCTTGTTCTGTAGATTACCCAGAGCAATGGGAGCTCTGTTTCTGGGAAGAGATTCGTGACAATGAATTTATTCAATTGCATTCTAACACTATCTTAGTGCAATTTTTCCCAAGTTAATGTCTTATTTTATGTTTTAATTTTGTTAGTGAGTGTGGTCTTGATTTCTACTGTAAAGAAGCCATGCCAGGAAGAATAGAGCATATGATGTTTCAGAAATGAATTAATGGAATTGTCCCTTAAAGATAATAACTGGACTGAATATTTCTGTCAATATTGTATCAAGATTTTGGGGATTACATTTGGTGCTTTCAGACAATATTTACACACATACAAACATTTTGAGAAATTGTTACTAATGTCTATATGACAACCAAATGGGTAGAGGCATTTACCGTACTTTCTGGACTATAAGCCGCTACTTTTGTCGCTTCATGCACACACACGACGAAATGCATATGATGCTGCTTCAAGTTACAGGCGATCAATCTGGCTGTCAAAATATCTCATGTTACAACATGGACACCTGTGGCTATGTACAACATGTTTTTTCATCTTACATTTAGTGGGTGCGGCTTATAGTCTGGAAATTATGGTATTTGACTTAGCAAAACAAGTGAAATTTAAGTTTACATTCAGATTTTTTGTTTTGTTTTTGTTTCTTCAATATTTTAAGTTGTGCAGTATTTACATGCTGTATTTGCTAGCTTTTGCTACTGATATAAACAAACTGGGGACCCACTTGTCAAAACATTGCTCCATATTACTAATGGTCAACAACTGCACAGGGTACCTTTAAGCTCAGACATCAGGGTTAGGGTTATAAAGCCAAAGCTGTAATGATGTAATGATACCATCTGTATTTTTTGGTAGATATGTAACTGTGTAATTATATAATACGTATTTTTTCACCCTTCTGGCACATTTAGAAAAGTAGTGATACAGTTCACTAGGACTGATGCTTCATTCTTCTCTCTCTATCTTTAGCCATGGCTGCATCCGAAACCTCATAGATTTCTTTGAGATCCGCTGCTGCGGTCTGATCCGGCCTGTAACGATGGACTGGACCACGCAGTACACAATAGAATACGACCAGACATCTGGCTCGGGCTACCAGCTTGTGTAAAGGAGGAAGAGGAGGAGGGTGGAAGAAAGATTTTGAACGATTACCCTCCTTGTCACCCGGCATTTATATCAGAGTGATGCTGTTCTTGGGAGCACTTGCTTTTTTGGACCATCTTTCCCTCACCGATCAAAAGACTTTGGGGAAAAAAAATAATAAATCAACCAGGACTAGCATGCTGACACCACACCTGCACCCCACCACCTTTACTACTACTACTATTCTACAACATCAGACTGCAGTCTAACCCCTCCACCTCGTCTCTTCTCCTGAGCCCATTGGACGCTGCGTTGCTGCCAGGCATGAGCGGAGAGGACAGAGGCTGATGAGGATTTACAAAATAAAAGCTCTTCTGTTTGTACCAGAGATGTGACGCTGCACAGATAGTAGTGTCATGAAGTTCATTTTCCTTCCCACTTGATGTCCTTATTTATGGTGTCCCTGTTCATGTGCCCTGAATGTTTTTTTGTTTTTTTTTTGATTGGTTCAGGAACTCTGCTGTTTCTGTGATAATTAACTGTGGAGGCCATGGAAGTTGAAGGAAGGCTGTTTCTGAAAATCATGAATTTGTTTGAGTATGATAGAGACAAGGGAATGTCTTTTTAAGGTTTTGATTTTTGCATCATGAATTTTGTGTCATGCTGATGAGGATTTGCCAGCATCGTCATACTTATCAGAGGAAAGTGTTTAGTTACAGGTGGAGCCACTGGAGGAGTCCCACTTCTCACCTGCTGAAATAAAGCTGCATCCACTGAAGACAAAAAAAAAAACCCGACAGCAGTTGTCCATGCAGGATTAAGTGCATGAACTGGGACTCCTCCACCTGCAAACCACTGTAAACGTGACGGTAAATATCGTAGAGACAATGTGACACAGCTATATTTATTTTAAAGCTATTTATAGATGAACTGTTCTAGCACCACCATTTTTACATTTCACATCATTTTAGCCAAGTAGTTTTTTTATGACAAATTATTAAAGAAGTAGCTGTTGAACACAGAAGCCCAGAAACCTTGCCATAAAACTGTATAGACAGGTGCAGTGAGTGTATTTATTAACAGCAGAGTGGAATCTAAGAAAAAGAGAATGCTGCAGAAGGATAGACAAATTTACAAGAAAGGTTCATTCCATGTTTTCAAGAAGATGTAAAGTCTCGTATTTTTAATCTGCCTATAACATTGCACTGATCTTTTTTCTCTTTTTTTGGTAAGTTATTTTTGTTTTGGCTGTTACTGAACCAAAGGGCCCAGCAGCATTGCGTCACACCGACGCTTCCATTGTTCACAAAGAGGAAGAGGAGGGGCCCATCAGACATGAGTGCCTCCCATAACTTCCTGCTTGGACCCCAGCTGTTGGCTCTGCAGCAGTAGCAGGACATACTGATATGTAAATAAATGTGCACCTGTACATAAACTTTTTTTTTTCTTCTCCGTAACTGTTTTTTTGTTCTCGTCAGTGTTAGTCAGAGGTGCTCCTGGAAAGTTTTGTTTTTTTGAGTTTGGGAGACTTCTTCCTACCAAATGGAAAGAAGAAGATCACGTGACTATACTCCAAGTGTATGACTGTAGTTTTTAGTGATGTCCAACACTGCTGTTTATGGGCGTTGTAATCCCCAGTTACCCTAAAGCCCTTCACCGCCCTGAAACTTCACTGCATGTACGATGCCTGGGACATCTGGACCCCCTGAATCACTCCCACCCCCCACCCCCACACCATCATCATCGCCACGGTGACGGCCCGGCACGCCACCTGTCTGTATATAGTGAATGTTAAGTATTTGCAAGTACTTTTCTGCATTACTTTTTTTTTTTTTTAATTTCTCTCAAATCCAGTGTGTTTAGCAGAAGTTGTTTTTCCGGTCACCAGATTTGCAGTCGGGCCCTCCTGTGCAAGTGTGTAATATATTTGAATGTTCATGCTTGTGGACTCCGTAGTTTTTTTTTCCCTTCTGTCATGTACCGCTGGGTTTGTTATGCCACTGGATGTACAAATTGTAAAGCAAAGACACAAAAGAACTAAGGCAGACATTTTTTTTTGTTTTCTTTCTGCAATAGTTTTAAGGATAGGAGGTTATATAAAGGTAAGACCATATCATTTGGGCCTGATGTTTGCATCATCAGAAAGGAACGGTTATGTCACCATTCTGCCATCTTGCAAGCCCCTGATATCACTGCTGCCCTAAAAAGACAACACACTGTAGCTAGTTTTTGTGAGCTTTAAAGGTCAAACATGATCTGCTGTTTAGATTTCATATCATTAGAATATTCTACCGGTAACTAGCCATTTGTGTTCAAATAATTTAAGTGACAGGTAAATAAGGACTATTCCACTATGGACTGTTGTTTTTCTAGGGCAAAGTTCAGCACTCCAAGCTCATCCTGGACCTGTATTCAAACCCATTTCAGTCCTCACTAATTCTTCCAGCAGACCAAAAAGTCTCTGGTGGCTCCCCTCTCACCTAACCATGTGGAATATAGGGAAAAATAAGATAGAGCACATAATCATCTCCAATGTCTCTCTGCCCATCTTCAGGCATCACTGTAACTCTGCTTCAGATGTAAACATATGGGCATGGTTCAGTTTTAATGGCTTTAATATTAAAATACAGTCAAATGTGAACACTTTTGTTTTTTTGAATTTTTATTTGAATCAAGAGCATCTATTTTAGCATAAAAGAATGTTAGGGAGACGACACCGATTGAATGTTGTAGGACAAAGGAATGTGAAAAGGTGAGATCGTCTTACTGAGCATGAACCAAAGCTCCAGCTCCTTGGCCATAACCACAC